ACACGCAAATGTGCATACAAGTATGCACACACATGCACACATACCAACACCACACATGCACAAACAGATCCACACAGATGAATGTGTATACACAACCCATGCACACACACACACACACACACATAGGCACACACACATTGGTGATCCTTTGCTAATGTGCCCCCTGCCCCAACCCAGGATGGAAAGCAGGCAGAAAACTGCCTCCAAGAAATAGCTGAGACAGCCCACCCCTGGGGCCTGTGCACTGGGGGCAGGTATTGGGCTCAGTGCACCCCACTGTTAGCCGGGAGAGAGGGCTGGGCCACAAGTCCCCTGTACACTGCTAGCATTGTGTGTGTGTGTGTGTGTGTGTGTGCTGTCGCCCAGCCAGCACGTCCACCAGCCCAGCCACATGCTTGAGCAGAGCACACACCCAGGAGGCAGCAGGGCTCTCCTGGAACACATAACAGGTACCATTACGCTAAATGCGGAAATTAGACTCCGGGGCTTCCTGGAAGCCTCGGATTCGCCTTTGAGTCTGTTTCCCTAAATTCAATTACCTCTTAATTACTTCGAGGCTCGTGGAGCGCTCCAAATCCATCAGGTAAGGGGCTGGGGGCGGGAGGGAAGAGGCAGCCTGTGTCCCCAGCATCTGCTCAGCAGCCTGGCGGCTTTGGGGGAGCTGGGCTACATGGGCGCAGAGTTGGGAGGGGGAGGGGGAAGGAGACAGGCTGGGCTCTGGTCTGTGGGCCACACTCATGGTTTGTAATGTAGGAGCCAGCTCTGTCATCAAGAGGCTGTATGGTGCATGTGCCCAGGCCTCCCTGTGCAGACACGCCACAGACAGAGAAGGGACACAGGTCCAGAGCCACTGGTGGGGGGTGGAGTGGGTGGGCAGGCTGAGGGAGCGAGGCAGTACCCCAAGCCACTGCCTGGTCTCAGAGCAGCAGGCTCTGGCAGGGCCTTCAGGCCTGCAGGTGCTAGCAGCTTTGCTCATTGACAGTGAGCAATGGGGAGTTAGTTGGTGCTGCAGGAGCTGTGGGCCAGCAGGCCTCCAGAGAGCCAAGCAGCCTGGAACAGCCTCTGGGGACTTGGAGCACATGCAGACCCCTGGGCCCTGAGAGCACAGTCCTTGGTGACAGGCCAGGCCTTGCAGAGGGAGCTGGACCTCCAGAGGGCCCCTCAAGACTATCAGCCTGCATTGTTCCGGCTGAGCCAAGGGCCTGGGGGTGGGGTGGGGAGCAGGGGTGGACTTCTCACCTACGCTGGTGTGAGTCCCAGCCAATGCCTGTCCTGTGCAGCCATTGTTGAATGAGCCAACAAGCAAAGACAGCGAGAGCTGGTTGGTGCTTGCCGCCCTCTGTCTCTTTAACACCACAGCCCCTTCCCAAAGGATCAAAGCTTCCTTTCAAAGCGGACATCAGAAGAGGGCCGAGGACCCAGTCCGGGACCCAGCCCACAGGCATTGGGTCAGTGCGCCCCAGTGTGCAGTGCCCCCTCCCTGCTCCCCATCTGTCAGAGGAGGCTGGTGGGTTGCTGTCCTGCTAAACAGGTCTCAGCGGAGCTTCCAAAGACTAGGAAGAGAGGCCTGGTGATGGATGTCCAAAACTCAGCCAGTGGAAACCCTCTGCCCGCCGATCACCAGACCGTGCTGGACTGGGAGGTGGTTTCTTGGGTTGTGCATGAACAGAGTGGGGTCACTAGGGGGTGGGGGCTGTCTGGGCAACACCACAGGGACAGCTGTGGGACCCATGTTGGGAAGACGGTGGAAGAAGGAGGGGATCACACACACACACCACACACACACATACACTCCCTCTCCCTCGCAACAGGCATGCAGTCAGTCAACTGTTATCACTAACTGCAAGGGTCAGAGAAGGAGGGAGGCAGGGCGGGGGCCCAGTGGGTGGGTAGAGGTGGGTTTCTGATTTCACTCTCCCAGGAAGTGAACGCTTTTATCTGAGCACAACAGTTTGCACCACCCTCTCCTGTCTGGAGGCTTCTCCCACGAACAGGGAGCACTGCATACCATCAAAACCAAACTCACTGCCACCCGTCGAGGCCGACTCACTGAGGCTCTACCAAGACGGGTAGAACGCCCTTGGTGGGCTTTGAGGGCTGTCACTCTTTTAGGGAGCAGAAAGCCTCCTCTTTCTCCCGAGGAGCACCTGGTGGTTTTCAACTGCTGACCTTGTGGTTAGCAGCCCAAGGCGTAACCCACTACCCCAGAATGGTTGGAGCAGCCCGTGAGCTGCCCTCCCCTGTCTTCTGGTCCTTCCCAGGGCCCCTGGAGAAAGCTGAAGGGGCCCAGTGTGAGGTCATTTTTGGAGCAGGATGCAGAAGAGATGGGAGGGGGCCCAAGACAAAGGAGTCAGAGGTCAATAACCCAGGTCCCTGGCCCTTGGTCAAGCTCAGACTCCAGGCCAGAAGTTGTTGGAAGGCGTTTGGATCTGACACAGAGGGTTTGACACACACACACACACACACACACACACACACACACACACACACACACGTTTACTTATGGGATTTCTCCAGGCTCTCTTCTCCGCGCCTTGCCTTCATTGTGTGCCTCTTAAGGGAACGAGGAAACTGAGGCACAGAGTTAGATCTCAGGGGAGAGGGCAGTGGGCACCGCTATCAAATCAGTCTTGTCCTCTTTGAGTGGACGAACAGGTGGGGTTTGGTGGGTGGGTGGGACCCTCAGTTCAGAAGTCTAGGGGAGGCCAGAGACCAAGGGCCCAGCCTGGCCTTTTCCTGCTTTATTTTGGCTTTCTCCAGCCCCTCCCATAAGCAGGAGCTCATGCAGCCCCGCCCCCCACACCATTGTAATCTGTGGGACTGAAAGTTCCCTGCGGACAGGGTCTTTCTTGGGTTCCTGATAAAATCCAGAGCAGGCTGCTGGGTGTGTAGATTTCTGATAAACAATGCACCTCCTACCCCCCAGTCTTCCATGGAATGTACAGATGCTGAAATAAGTGGACATCGCTGCTAGAAACGTGGATCTCACCGGCAGCCTGGATTTGGGTGTACCAAACCTGGGGTCAAGCACTCCGTGTCTACTGATGTCCACCTCTACACGAACTCAAGTGGGTTCATGACTGGAAGGGGGGTGGGTGCTGCAGGAAGCTCCACAGCTTGGGCCCCCCCTCCCCACACCGACCACCACCCCACTCAGCCCCATAGAAAGGTTCCTTTGAGAGAAGTGAAGCCAGTTGGAATTCTGGAGAGCAGAGCCGAGCTAATCCCTTGCCCGCCACCTCCCCGCTGCACTTGGGCCTCACTAAGAGGATGGGTGCCCTTGGGTCTTTGTGGGGCAGAAGAATGGTGGTTAGATGGGCACTGAGGCATGAGAGTTCATGAGAACTGGGGCTAGATCTCCCCCATCCCAAATCCCTGTAGACACCAGTCCCCCTGACCCTGTTTCTGAACCTGCCTCTTCTTCCTAGACCTGTGGGACAGTCACCAGGCTGGGCAGTGCCACTCAAGCCAGGCTCACCAGAGCCTCCCACTTACCTCACAGGAATCCTCAATCCCGAGGAGAGAGGGAGAGGTTCCAGCAAGCCAGGGACATTTGATGAACCCAGTTCAGGTCACTCTCCCTCTTTGACAGAGGGAGTCCTGGACAGTCCATTGGGTCTGAATCCAGGCCAACCCACCTCTGTGCTGCTGTCTGCCATCAGCTGCCAGGTCCTGCCCAGGACCCAGTTCTCAGGCCACCACAGGCCTGGTCACCAGACCCCTTCAAGGCCTGGGGCCATCTGCAGCCTGTGTCCTTCCGAGAACTTGAAGGACCATTTCCCAGTCTGCCCTGTGGGAGTGCCCCCAACTCCTCACTGCCTGGGCTCCAACAGTGATTCTGCACTCCCTTCCCTCTGGGCTGGGTCTATGCTTGCTTCCCAGGGTGCCGGATGCCCAGCCTTTGTGAGGCAGGCGCTGAAGGACAGGCCGGATCCTCCAGCAGGCAGCCTGCCAGGAGCCCACGTCACCCCCCTGCTCCCAGGGTGGCAAAGGGCATTCATTACACAGAGGGGGAGGGGGCTGCCCTCAATCTAAGGGGGCTGGGGTGTGGGGGAGGGCCAATTCACAAAAGCCAGCGCCAGCAACTCCCAAGGGTATTTTTTGAGAACTTCCCTTCTCTCCCTCCCTCCCCTCCCCCTGCGCCCCTCCCCCACCCTAGCCGCTGGTGGCCAGCAGCCAATAGTGGCCACACTGGCTGCATTCAGGGCTCCCCGCCCAAGCCTTCTATCTCTGGCCCTGGCTGCCCCAGCATGGGCTATATCCCCCCGGTTGTGAACTGCCAGGACCCTTCTGTTCCCGAGGGCCACCCGCTGAGTTCAGCCCCCCTCAGCTGGCCCCCTGCGGACACTTAACCCCTTCCTTTCTGATACTGACAGGGCCTTGCCACCCACAGAGGGAGGGTTAAAGTGGGGACTGCGCTCCCAATTTGCAAATGCAGTGGAGGGCAAGCCTGGTCTGCTATGCTGTCCCCTCCTGCTACCTCGCAGGAAGCACCCGCCCCCACCACCGCCAGCCTCTGCCTGCTGGTTTCCTGGGGGTGCGCTTGGTCGCTTCCTCCTTGAGGCAGGGCCGTGATGGTAGATGGGAGCAAGCGTTGGCTGGGGTGCGGGTCCCCACCCCAATCAACCTGCCCCACAGTGCGGGGAATTACGGAGGAGGAGCCACCCTGGCAAGGGGTCAGGGGTGGACAAAGGTCAGGCCAGAGGGTAAGCTGGGGGGGCGGGGGGAGCCCCATCTAGCCGCCTCCTTTTCCCTCCTTTGCCCGATCTACACACTACCCGTCCCAAAACCTGTTTTGGACCAATGTCAGCAATGCCCTTCCCCAGTGCCCCAACTTGCCCCGAAACGGGGCACCTCTTTGGGGTCCAAAACCTGAAGAGCGCTGGGATTTACCATTTGGTTTAATGCGCAACGGGCAGGGGATTCGTTCCCATTCCAGAGACCAAAGGGGGCGGAGTCAATCTCCTGCACCCCTTCGCTCAGCTCAGACCGCAAGTATGCACCGTCAACATCTCCATTTAATATTTACATTCAAGCAGGCAAAAATCGGAAGCTTACGGTTTACACATCTCCTAGTAGCAGCTGTTTCTAGAGCTTGTTTAGGCTTTTAACAAACTTTTTTCTTTTTTTTTTTTTTGCACATAGAAAGACACGTCCATGTGTACAGTATCAAAAAATATATACCAAGGTTCCTGGCATTGCAGTCCGTGGGAGGGGGCAGAGGGAGCCGACGTGAAATCAAGGGAATACTGAGTGGAGGGTGGGAGAACAGAAAATAGTTCGTCTGATATAGAATATAACATGATCTAGAGGAAACTCCATAAATCTAGGTCTTTATATTTCAATATATAAATACCTACAAATAAATATAGATATATCAGCCCAGGGGGGGGGGCTGGGCCTTCTGAGTTCAAACAATACATTTCAATAATAACACCACGTACAAACCGGAGCAAAGTCAGCACTTGACAAGTTAGCACAGTTAAAATAGAATACTATAAATTTCCACCGCCGGCCGCCGCGCCCATTGCCAGACCCGTGTCTGAGGGCTGCCAGGGAGGGGGTGGGTGGGAAGGAGGGCGGGAGGGCTAGACCCCCAGGTACCCAGTGCCCCCCCAGAGAGCTGTAGTTCCTGTGGTGACTTCAGAGTGTTGGCCCTGGGGGCTGGTTCTCCCACGGTCCGGTCCAGGAGATGGAGGAGTCCGCCACCCCACACCCTTTCTGCGGGGAAGACATCTCTCTCCCAAGCTCTCCCGCTACAGCTACACTGTCACGTATTCCTTGAACGTGACGGTGAGGCAGTTCGCAGTGACATCGGTGATAATTATATTCCCAAAGAAGGGCTTGAACTCGGACAGCGGCTCCTCGTCCCGCTCGTCCTGGGCCTCCGCGGGAGGCTTCTGGGCCGCAGAGGCCGGCACCGCGACCTCCGCCAGCGCCTCGGGCTTGATGGTGCGGGAGCTGGGCGGTTCCCTGGCGTCGCCACGCGTCTTGACGCAGCGCAAGTCTATGGGCTCGTCCAGATCCGAGTCCAGCAGGATGACCTCCGGCTGCGGATGGCCAGTGGCCGGCGGCACGTCTGCCGGGCGCTCGGCGGCCGGGCTGCCCCCCAGGCAGGTGGGGGTGCTAATGCTTCGAGCCGTCAGCCGCTTCTTGCAGGGCTCGCGCTCGCTGTGGGTCTCCGAAAGGCAGCGCTTGCGCGCGTGAGACAGGTTGAGGCCCACGGCGTGGTGGTGATGGTGGTGGGGGTGATGGTGGGAGGGCGGGTGCGTGCTTCGGGCCGGGTCCCAGGCCAGCAGGTCGGGCTTGGTGGTGAGCTGCAGGGGCTGTTCCGCAAACGCCTCCTTGGCCGGGGAGAGCTTTCGGGAGCCAGCGTCCAGGGGCTGTGGGTCCCCGGCTCCCGGCCCCTCCTCCTCCCTCCTCTTGGAGGGCGTGTCTGTCTTCTTCTCCTCTGGGCCCACCCCCACGGCCTTTTTAAAAGTCCTGTCGGCTGGCGGGTGGCGCTCCTCTGCGGCGGCTGGGGCGCGCTTCTTGTGGCTCGGGGAGCGCGCCTCGCTGTCAGCGGCCTCCCCGGACTTGATCTTCACTGCCTGCATGCCGTTCTCCATGTACTTGCTCATCACGATGACGATGCGGCCGTTCTTGTTCTTATTTTTGACAATCTTCATTTTGCCCCCAATCCCGTTGCCCGTCACTGCTTCCTTCGGGGCTGGCGGCATGCCGTTGGGGGGACCCTTCTCAGCGCCCTTGCCCGGAGCCCCAGCTGCTCCGCCCAGGGGCTTTACCGCTCCCAGGTAGCCCTTGGCCCCCGCGCCATGAGCCCACTTGTCTGGCGGGTGGCTCTTCGCGCTGGGGTCCGGGCAGGTGGGGCTGGGCGCCTCCTTGTGGCCACCCTGGTACTGCAGGTCGTACATCTTGGGGTCCGGCTGGTAGGGGTGGTGTCGCTTGCTGTTGAGCTGGTAGTAGTACTTGCTGCTCTTGCCCGGCGGCGGCGGCGGCTTGCCCGCACGCTCCTTGCTGTGCGGCTGGTAGGGGTGGTGCCTTTTGCTGTTGAGCTCATACTGGTGCGCCTGGCCCTTGCCCTGCGCGCCCAGCTCCAGCTTGGCTCGGTTGTCAGCAGAGGAGTCCTGGAGCCCAGTCAGCACGTTAGAGCGCCGCGCAAAGGTAGGTACCTGTGGGAAACCCGGGGTGGGTGAGAAGCCTGAGCTGGTAGGGCCCCAGGGCATGCTGGGAGCATCCGGGGTCCCAGCCCCCACCCGATTCAATTGCTTCATGGTGAGGTGGGGGGGCCGCGGGGTGTGGGAGGCATAGCAGAAAGGAAGGCGGATTGGGGTGGGATTGGGGTGTCCGGGAAGAACTCCCACCACCCTCGGGGCCTGGAGGCAGCTCGGATGGCAATGCCAAGGTGTGGTCCCGTGGGCGGCCTGGGACTGCGGGGCTGGCTGGCGCGTATTCACCTGCACCACCAGCGGCTTGGGCTTCGGGCCTCTCTTCCGATATCCCATCAACTGCTCCTGCCGTTCCCTGGAGGAGGGGACAGGGGGCAGCACTGTTAGCCTCAGGGTCTTTTTCCTTGGGCGGCCTGAGGTAAAGAGCCAGGGCAGAAGGTCGCCTCTGTCCAGCTGGGCGCCTGAGCCCAGCCACAGCACTCTGCTGCTCCTTGCTGGAGGCCCTGCTCATCTGCCCTGCTCATCTGCACAGGGGAGTCCTCCCACTTCTGGGGTCTCCACCTGAACCAGTGCCCCTGCAGCCCTTCCTGTCTCTTTGCTGGCAACCCAGTCCTGAGCTGTCGCTCACAGCCTAGGGCCCGTGGCCTTGCCCACAGCGTGCTGAGGGTCTGGAGGAGCGCGCCAACCGAGGTCCCTCTCCACCGCAGACGAAGGATGCTAATAACCTCATTAAGATTCAGATAACGCGGGCCGCCTGCAGAAGGGAGAACTGGTTTCCTTAAAGGCCAGGCACTAAACAGGGGGAGGGGCGGAGCCCTTGTTTACACAACGGCAAATGAGCCAATTAGGGGCTGGGGGTGGGGGCCGGCCTCCAGGCCAGGTTCGCAGCCACCTGGGGAACCCAGACCAGCGACCGGGCGGGTGGGCGG